TACTTAAGTCAGATATTTCTACAGGGTTGCATTTAACATTTGTTTTGTGTCATTTGAATTGCCTTTTGCAGTAACTGCTTTCATATGGCTACAGCTGGCCATTCCCATTTCATCTTAAGTGCATGGACAGTGTTATCAGTAGCTGATGTGCTCCCCATTCAATCGAGAAGTGGCGGTATGACTTGCATAATGCTGGGACTCAGGGCTATCTTGTGGTCGCTGTGGCTGTGCACTATATATGACGTAAAATGCAGTGATTTCTGAATAGGGTCTCATATGAATAGCTGTATGTAAAATGAACAGCCGTGATTATGATCTGACTTGCCCTACACTCCTCCTCTGCAAATTTTAAAAATAGAAACTCCTTACTGAAATCGAAATATGTCGGTCAAAGACACCCAACACCCTCCGACATGTCATAACGAAACTTGGGATCCCAGCCTTACTGTAAGGACACCCCAATCCGACGATTTAAACTAGTTGCTGAATAAATTAGGCAGTTCGCTAGCTAGGTATGTGACTTATGAGGGTCATTTTCTACTCACCAAACATCATGAAGAGCAGCGCGCAGACAAGTGTGGCCACAATGACCAGCAGTGTGAGACCGACACTTTGCCACATCTTAGCTGAATTCCTGACAGCAACAACAGCATTCAGAAGAAGGATGGCGACGATTTCACTGTCTCACAATAGACAGACTGTAGCCAGGTAATCCGCCAGGCAGCTGAATTAGATAGCCAGCCTAGACGACACCGAAAAACACTAACAGCAGCGCATCGCAAACTTACACCAGCTCGTTAGCTAGCTAGCGTGTGGCTAGCTTGCTGGTTAGTTAACGCTGTTTGACAAACGGAACCGCAGTACTTTTACAAACAGTCCCCAGGACCGGTGAGAACTACAGCGTTAGCTGGTCACGGCAGGGTAAACTCCTCCTTCTATACGCTACATAACTGCAACGTGTATTTACTAGTTTTTACAGAAGAGACAGAGCGGTACAGTAAACTAGGTTAAGACAAAATCAGCGTCATGTCTCAAAATGCGACTGCGCGAGTTCCATTTGACTTTTGGGTAATGTAGTTGATTGGAACATTTCCGTTTTTTAAGTAGATATTTGAATTATGATATGGAAAGAGCTCCCTTTAATTAGATACGTATATCACCGATTACTGTCTTTTTTACATCGTTTTTAACGTTACACCAGTTTCACAGTATATGTTAGTATTTAATTTTGTTTATACTTTAGCTATGCAAAACAGGGGGAATATTAGTAGAACAACGTCAGCATACAATAAATAAAAAGATAGATAGATAAAAGTTAACAAAATATCACAGTGTCTTCCATGAAAGTGGCAGTTTTTGATGGTTCACTGTTACACAAAGTTTTACCAGCAGTGAAAAAACAAGTAATAGTGATTTTATTTCAGATTTACAAAATGTGCATAAAGTAGGAATATTTCACAGTATATGTTAGTATTTAATTTTGTTTATATTTTAGCTATGCAAAACAGGGGGAATATTAGTAGAACAACGTCAGCATACAATAAATAAAATGATAGATAGATAGATAAAAGTTAACAAAATATCGCAGTGTCTTCCATGAAAGTATATTTAAATTAAAGCAACATTTCTTCAGTCCAGCAGGAGGAGACATTAACCTACCAAACACTTATAACCCACTGAGTTGATTCCAAAAAACAAACCCCTGATATAGGAAACTGTTTATAGGTGCAGAAGATGTTTTCTTAAAGTTTTCCTTTCATTAGAGCAGCACAAACCTTCTCATGATCAGGTTAGATGCTTTGGAGTAAGTTTGTTGCTTATATTTATTCTTCAAAACAATGCAAACCTTTAGCACCATTGTGAACAACTCTGACCCAGAACTGGCTCAGATTTGTGGCTATGGCTCCAAAGTGTATTCCAAACAAAGTAAACATGCCATATGTTCTCTTTATAATACCAAAGAACAATAGGTGATGCAAAACACAACTTATATTTGCACCATGTTCGTGCCCCTGTGGCCTTGGATTAGTATCTCTTATGTAAATTTACTTTATTGCTGTAAAGTTTAGATTTACCTTTCAACAGAGACCAGGGTTATGAGTGTAAGTACCATTTTCTAAAAATGTTGGGGACTTTTTTGAGTTTGTGTGCAAATGTTTCTATACAGTATCAAGTAACGGAAGTGGCTCATGTTGAGAGGTGTGCCGTTTTATGTCTGCGGAGCAGGGTATGGGTGTCACATTTTTAGGTGCACATTTGTTTTCTAGGTTAGCAAGACTGTTGAGGCATTACTGCCGGGTTGAAATCTTTAATTCAAGGGTGTATGAAAAGCAGAAATGTATATAACTCCTTCTCTACCTGTTTTTATTTATGTCTGAATCTGAAATCTAGGAGCAGTACCTCATGCCCCAACATCTCATCTCATTTTCTGTACCACTTAGTCACCGGACAGGTCGCCGGTCCGTCGCAGGGCCAACACACAGACAAACAACCACACACACACATTCACACGTACGGGCAATTTACGAGTCACCCAATCCACATGCCCCAACATATTTTTCATATATACTAGCCTCAATATTTGCATATTATGCATGAGTCATGCTTCAACATGGAATTTTAAACATGAGTGAGGTGAATAGAGTGTCTAGCCCAGCCCATGTAATACTATATGAAAGGCCCTAAGGTTCTTTGTTTCCTGTTGGGGTTTCCTTTTACTAGGTTATCAATCTCATGTTTTGGATTTAAAGTGGCTATAACCAATATTTTTTTAGAATAACAATGTGTTAATGACAATTGTTAGTGACAATGTGAAAGGTGGCCTTCAAATCCATTAACCTACAGCATAAATAAAAAAAGAAAAGCAATTAACACCTACCTCATACTGCGGACAGGACACCATTTGAGATATGGTGGTGGGTTGAGCAGCTAAAGAACCAGAAAAGTTTCTCAAGATAATCATCTTTTTATTGGCCAAGTATGTTACACACAAGGAATTTGTTTCCAGTACAGAACCGACGGCAGCCATCTGCGGTGCCAACTCAACCGATGGCTCTAACCATCGGGGGCAACAGGGGGTTCAGCGTCTTGCCCAAGGACACTTCGACACATAGACTGCAGGCACCGAGATTCAAACCTTCAACCTTCTGGTTGGGAAACGACTGCTCTACCCACCGCACCATCACCTCCCCTGGTAGAGACCAAAAAGCTAAAAGAGAGTGAATATGGATTTGAATCATCAGACGGCTACAGACTGTAAATGAAATGTCCTTTCATTAGAGCTCAGAAACTGCAGGTGTTTGTTACCAAGTTCAACCTATCAGCTTAAAAGGTGTGTGCTCACAACTTGTTTCCAATGCCCCTAAATGTCCAAATGAAAGAGCTGACCTGATTCAAAAACTGGTTTATCTGATGCAAAATGCTGCCAAAGATTCAATCAGATTAACAATGTAGTTTCAGGTCAATTACCTCAGCATTTTTGTTTTCAAGAACCTCACCTTTTCCATTTCTGTGAAAGTACCTATTCCTATTTCACAACTTCTCCACTTTTTGTGACTGAGTCATAAACCCTCAGAGCCACGGAATGTTTTTTCTCAGACAGTCTGTTGCTAAGTGTGCTTGTTGTGTAACAATATATGAAGCAAACACAACCCACACTGCTCATTAAATCCAACACCAGCCTCATGCAAACACAGTATGCGGCAACGTTTTTTTTCAGTTGTCAGTAACTGAAACCTTTTCACCTCAACATGCTGTTATCTGATACCAAGGAAATGTATCATCTGCTCCTCCCTACAAACTTATTTGACTACTTCATTAGAACAATATGCACCGATTAGATTTCTTATAATTAATTTTTCTTGGTGTAGATGTATAAAGAAGATAAAAGTGGTTTAGCTGTGGTTTTATCATCTTTTAGTTTCAATGCCTCATGATATTTGTCCTGCACCACTGTTAAGACTGCACAGAAAACATGTTTTTCAGAACATACAGTACAAATAACAAACGGCAAAAATCTGTTTTGCATATACAGGTATAGTTTACTGTGGTACACAATATTTTATATCACTGTAAATCAAATTTTAGATTTTGGACTGTGGGTCGAACAAAAAACCTGAAGACATCAGGGCTTTAGGAAACCGTGATTTCCCTCTATTAACTGAGATTTTAAAGACCAAACAATGAATCCAATAATCAGGAAAACAACTGGTAATTCATAATGAAAATAATTGTTGGAGCACAAAGACAAAACAAGCTTCTGGTATGAAGTGCACTTTTCTAAAATAAGGCTGATGTAAAGATGTGCAACAAACCTGAGTGGCTGAGATGAAGAGTATTTACTTGTGCAGACAGACTCAAGTCAAGGACCACACAGCTCCCACACACACAAACTGTATTGTACAAAAGTGGAGGATGGATAGTTTTAACTCACCATAGCATGTAATTACAAATATTTATTTTAATTTAATAACTGTTACAACATCAAATTTGTCATGATTTACATGGCAGATAAACGACCCCCCTGGACTCTATAAATAGTAAGGCCAGGCAACATGGACAAAGTGCTACAATAACAAATGCAAAAACACATTAGGTAACAACCCTGGGAATTTAAAACACTATGAAGCTAGTTTTTATATCTGTGAGATTATTATTCACTACATGTATTTGATAATTTATTAATTGTGCATCACAATAACAACATTATTATTTCCTCACTTAACTAAAGGGTTTATATGAGTTACTTATTGCCCAACCCTAAATAACTGGCTGTGAGAACATAACAGTGCCAATATGACACAAAAATACATTTTTACATCACATCCATGCCACACTATACACTCAGTGGCCATTTTATTAGGTACACATGTATAGTCACAGTTCAATACAACAGCTCTGTTGCAACAGCTACCTTTATGAATCTCAGTGTTTGGTTTGTGTTGACATGGCCCAAAATCTGTAAACTGAATTATATTTTTATTATTAAACTCACAGTTAAAGGTGGTTTTGTACTGATCACAGTATATTTTATTTTATTCCTTCTATTTACATACACAAGGGCAACAAAATTTTGGAAACACAAGTGAATTTAATCCAGCCCAGTACAACACAACCACTAACAGCTAAACCAAAAATTATTGTATACTTCAATGATAGTGTCAACAAAGACTGGACATTTTAAGCTGCAGAACAGCTGTACTGGACCGAATCAGATTGTACAAGTGTACCTAATCATGTATCTAATATAGTGGACAGAGAGAGTAGCAGGTTACGTCTTTTAATCCCATTTAACAGCATTAAATTCCACTTTTCTTTTTTACATTTTTAAATAAGATACAATTTGTATCAACTGCATACTGCCTCTTATTTGATCTGGTTTAGAGACAGATCCACAGTAGTAAAGGTAGGGTTGGTGATTCCTTCCAGAAGCATTTTTTTTTTGTTTCATTTCTTGAATTTCTCTTTTTATCTCGATGGCAATGAATACATTAAATGCGCTGACAACATAAAGAAAAAAATCTATCTCCTCCACAACAGTTCAGGGCCACAGATCTGGGCAGATAACACCATATTTGAGAAAGTTACAACTAAAAAAAAAAGTTGGATGCTGCAAGAAGTAACACCAGAATTAACATTGGTGTGACTTTTGAACAACGGCAACAACTGAGAGAACAAAAGGGGAGGAAAAGTGACACCATGGTAGCATATTTCTGTTGGACAGGCAATTATCGGTTTTGTTTTGTTTGGGGGGCATTTGTTATTTGTCCGAAACCTGTAAGTAGTAGTCAGGCAGTGCATGTTGTGTTTTGGATGAGTGGCTTTGGAGAGAAGGCTGAATGAAAGTGTGGGATTTCTTCAGTTGGCTTGTTTGAAAACCAAGCTTCCTCTTCCCATTTTTTCCAGGATCGCCAACCCGACCTTTAAATACATTTTAAGGTGGATACCACAATACAAAAAGACACATTTTTCAGTCTTTCCACTGAAAAACATTGTTTCAGGTTGGACTCATCTCAGCGATGGGTTCTGACTCTGCAGCATGAGGATCTTGGCCACAAGCATCTGAGGATCCATCATCTGAGGAAACATGTCCATGGCTGTGTCCACCAATTGGGCACTGAAGATAGCCAGGAGCTTCTTCCGGACAACCTCCCTCTCTTTCCTGCTGGGACTTGGTTGTGTCCCCTGAGGAGGCTCCCACTGTGAGCGCTCCCCCTGCATACTGTGGCCCACTGGAGGATGATCCCCGAATGGATCTGACCAGTACACCTTCTGGTGGCTGCTGTGGACTCTGCTGTGCTGGAAGTCTGTCGGTTGGCTGTATGCAGGCATGACTGGGTATCCAACATAGCTGGGGTAATGAGGAAGGCTGTAGGGGATCATATCAGAGGCATGGCTGCTAACAGGCCTGATGCTGTGATGCTGAATGTGGTGCTGAAAAGCTGGTGTGGTTCCTTGTGAGGGAGGACCATGTGAGCAGCAGCTGCATGGGGCACTTCTAGGACCGCAGTATTGCTGTCTTACACTGTGGGTATGCTGGCAGGTGTAGTATTTTGCCCCGTAATGCTGATCACACAAACTCCAAGGAGCCTCCATAGGCTGACTGTCTATGGAGCCTAAGCCAGAGTCAAACTGCTCTGGCGAGCCACCATCCCGCACTGAGCTGCTGTCAGAAGATGACTGTCGGCTGCTCTTCTCCTTTCTAGATGCACCTCCCTTGCTGGAGCGGTGGCTCACCTTCACCTGAGCTACATGTTCATTTTTATGATCTTTCTTTACATAGCCACTCTCATGTCCCAGGATCAGTTTCTTAGCCATATCCTCCACCAGTAAGAGGCTCTCTCCAGGCACAGGACTGGACAGGTACTTGATGTTCTCCCGAAGTTCATCAGCAACTGAGCGACCGGACAGCTTGTCTCGGTCTGCATGATGGAATTTACATTTGATTCCATAAGTACATTTCTTTCCTAAAAAAAAGAATAAAACAGAAAACTTTAGCTGTGTCCACAGAGTTTAGAAGAGTCTACTGCCACTCTGGTAGCTCTCAGGCCAGACCAGCAGTGTCCCCTTTACCAACAGCTGTTGTGGAGATTTAAAAAAAGACTTCTTGAAACACTATGACACTGGTCATGCTGGGAAATTCTCCCCAAGATACCTCACTGTACAGTACTGCACAATGCTAGTACAGCTAAAAACACCGAGCATTTAAAACAATGCCCAGCAGTATCACTAATGCCATATAGAAAGTTTCTCACCATAAGGGCAAGGCTGTTTTTTCGGAGTCTTTGGAAACATTTGAAGGAAGTTCTCCAGGTTCGGTCCATGGCGCCCCAGGGGATCATCAGGAAGCATAAACCTGGATCAGGGTGAAATTCAAACATTAGTCTAAAAGTAGACCCTTACATTTCTTCTTCCAACCAGACATCTGTGTTCCAGGATGAAATCAGCGAGGGAAGGCAGGACTCACTTGTTATTAACAAAGGAGTACATGAGCAGCCTCTCCTGAATGAAGCACTTCCACTCCGGCTTCTCTCCCTGAAGGTCCCGGTACATGTCGTTGGACACAATGATGCCATCGGACTCGTAGGCCAGTTTGACAATAAAGAAGTCATCATTGCAGACCACTCGTTTGCCTGCAACATATCGTGACGGCGTGAACACAAGAATCTTCCTCCTCTCCAGGTCTCGCAGAATGTGCTGATCTGTAAACCACACAGCGTCACATTAAGTAAAGAGGTGGCGGGTGCTTCAATTATTTTGTGAACCATATTTATATCAGTGAGACTAGGCTAAAGAACAGAAGCTGATCTCAGCATAATGCAGTACAGTTCAACAATGGCACAAACTACACACGGTTCAATCAACACCTCTGAAACAGTCTAAACAAAAACTGAACATTATCACCTTCAGTATTTACTGCAACTTCATTACAATTAAAAACTGAGTATGTATCTGACTGACAACTCGCCAGAACTATCAGGTCACAGGACAGAGGTTTCCTTCAAATTCCAGTAATCCAGTCTAAATGTAGTGGTTATACCCCTAAGGAATGGAACATCCTGCCTGCTGAGATGAGGTTTGCACCAACACTCATGTCTTTAAAAAATAAGCTTTCATTCAGCTTTTAAATATTCTTAGTGTGTGCTCATCTCTTCATCTTTATTTTCAACATGTTAACTTATTCACTGCTGTTCTCTGTAAAACACTGACATGATATGGTGCTACACACATAAACTGTATTCTTTAGCTGTTACATGCTCCACTATGTTTGTCAGCTAGTTGCTACAAATGTGCCTGTCTGCTGTTTGATGCTGAGCAGGTACTGTACAGTGGGGTTTTAGAGCTTCTTCACCAATAGCTACCTGTTCCAGCTGCAAACGACACCCTGAGAGTGATGAAAGTTGTGGTATAGACAGATAAACAGCAAACTGAAACTCAATATAAAGGTCCATAAAGCAGAGGGGAGCTGCAGAGTCAGGTGACAACTGTCTCTAGGTTCATCACAGTTATTGACTTCTTTCATACAATCACAATTTTAAAAAACAGTCATAAAAATATTGATTATAGCTGCTTAAGGTAATTTTACACACAAATAAAATCACATTACATGTGATACACAACTTCAACTGTCAGTTTCCCCAAAGCCACTGGTACATTTGAATATGGGTATTTCCCAGCAGTCAGATTTAACCCGGTTAAATAAATACTAAGGACCCTGCAACAAAACAATTTATGAGCAACAATTTGTTCATCTACATAAAGCAAGAAAGCAGTTGTGCATCAGCAGCTGCTTCAAAATTTAGGCCATCAAAAGCAGTGACAGTTATAATGGTTATCTGTTGGTTTCTAAGCCACTGGAAAAACCCTGCAATTTTATCTTTTGAGTACAGTTATATAGATTCCAGATGACATCACTGACTATGTGTTTAGAAAAAAAAAATTACACAGGGTATTTCCCATTTAGAGCAGCAAAGAATAAGCTTTTGCATCAGTGCAAATAATGTTCTGCTCTTTTTATAGAGCTGTTTCTAAATATGAGCTGTGGGTTTCTTGATTAACTGTAAAGTCTATAAAAGATCAGTGAAGGACTCCTGTGCACATCTGTGTTGTGTTTCTGTAAAATATCAAAAATAGTGAAAAATGTATTTTAAAATTGGCCAGAACACAAGTAAACATGTATATAAAGGCTTTGTCTAATGCAAGCATTGAAAACCCAAAGTTATATAGTTTACAGTGATTTAAAACAGAAAAAACACCACAATTTTGCTTTTGAGAGACTGAAACATTTACATTTTTGACGTTTTTTCGCATGAAAATAAAGTAGTCTCTTTGTCAACTAATCAATTAATTAACAAATATTTTCAACTCTAATTTCAAACATTACAAAAAGAAGCAAATGCTGCCTTTTTAATGACAACTAGACGGTACTCAGAGAGTGCAAACCTCAGCCAAGGCAACGCAGTTTCCCCATAAGCCCATTTCACCTAAAAGCATTCTTCCCATGATAATTTGACCCTCATGAAAACCTAACATTGCCATTTGGAATGACATTATTAGTTATTTAAAAAATGTCACACCAAAAGTCATCTGGCTGCATGTCAGTCCACTTTAGAGTCCATTTTCCAATGTGCCTTCTGCTACACTTATTACACTCTGGGCTGTCGCGTTGCTGGGCTCCTTCTGTCGCTGTCTCGCACAACGAGGTGTACTGAGGAGATCATATGAGTGGAGTGGAACAGGGAGAATTCTGCTCTCTGCTCAAGGAACTGTTCACCCACTCCACTTGCGCTCCGCTCACAGGCTCTGGTACTGAGTGACAGCAGTTGGTTTCCATTGATAGCGAATGTGCAGCTGTCACTGGCCAAGTATTTGTCTCTGTACGTGCTTGGAGTACTCAGTAGCAACCAACAAACGCCAGAAAGAACATTACCCCCGCCCTTGGCAGAGGTAAAACTATGCATGAGGAGGCCTAACAGGAATCCCTGCCACGCCTTCATTTCCAGTGTCAATGAGGGCACTGTTAGGTGGTACCATGTAGAGAAGGAAAGCAGCAGCGTAAAAACAAATATGAACATGTCTTACCTGTGATGGGCACATCTGGTCGGGGCTGCTCCTTCCTCCATAAGGGAACAAATACTGTGACAACAGTGTGGCCTCTGTCCAGGAAGAAATTCACAGCCAACTGGATTCCCAGACACGAGAAAACTTCCTTGTTCCCGTGGCTGAATGCACAAACAGAAACCAGGAAAAATGAATGAGAAACTAGTAACAATTAAATGTGTGTCTGTGGGTGAAATTCGCCATCACTTGTTTTCCAAGCCCAAGACAACCTATTCAGACTGCTTGATTTGTCCAATCAACTGTCCTAAATGAAAACTGATAATTAAGGTTGTGTATGATGTGTAATGTGCATTAATTTGTGCACAACTTACCTGAAGTAACTAGATCAATATTTTTATGGTGATAATGTAAAAATAAGGTGACACTGTGAAATAAACTTGGCTTTATGGAGCTTTAAAGCATGTTTCTGTCCAGCCCCGCCCCCAGCTACTACTTGGATTCATTCTCATCACTTTTATAGTGTCGTCTGGAGCTGGAACAGATGGCGAAAAAGCTCTAAAAACTCTGTTTACATGTCATACAGTGAGTGTTTGTGGTCACATTATCCAGTATTTCCCAAACAGAAAGCAAAACCTAGAGAACCAGTAAAGTTCACAGGAATGGAATGGAAATGAGGACATAGTGACCTTGACCTTTGACCACCAAAATCTAATTAGTTCATCCTTGAGCATGTTTGTGCCAGGTTTGAAGAAATTCCCTCAAGACGTTTTGAGATGGCGTTCACAGGAATGGGACAGATACAGTATGTACAGACAGCCTGAAAACGTTATGCCCCCGACCACAGCTATCGTGGGCGCGGAGGCATAACAATGAATATGAATAATGTGTAAAAAATACTTTGTCAACACTTTAAGCCCCTGATTTAACCTTTACAACCAACATATACACATTTAATAAATAAAGTGTAGTTGTAGGCAGAAGGAATATTTTAACATTCTAACATTTTAAGTTTATAAATGTACAGTTTTTATCTGATGAAGGCTGTGTTATACCAAAAAACAGTTTTACTATATTGCTATTCATTGTGTTTATACAGCTGCACATTTCAAGCAGCTTACAAATAATTAGTGTTAAAAAAACATTTATTAATTGTTTAACAGGAAAACTTCAAATAAAGTGCTACCAATATTTTTATTATCTCTTGTTATTAGTGATAACAGAGAATCTAACCAGAGGAATACTTATAAATCCTATTATAAATCATATTTATTTTAGTAAATCTTTGCTGAGAAAACATGAGAGTTATAAGTGTTCAGTGGTTCATGGGGTTTTTAGGACATGCAAGATCAAAGTCAGAGAACAAGGTAAGAAGAGGGGTCAAAACGATGATTCTGATGAAGATATTTCGCCACAAGCATGGCTGGACTTCAAGTAAACACAGAGTCACATGTGCACATGCTCTGACTTGCATACTCGAGCAGCTCGTGTACTCACACAGGCGTGCCTGGCTGAGAAAGGCTAAAGGACAAAGGAGTGCCCTTATTTGGCCCAGACAGAGTCATTTTCTCTCATTTTCACTTTCTGTCCCATTTTCCTCAAACTGTGGGTAAGAGGGGGTGAACGACGGAATGGGATTTGTACCCAGAGGAAGTGTTAGCCTCTTAGAGGTGCAAGCAACAACAGTTCCTGCCTCTCTTAAAACTTTTTGTATGACAACCTCCAACACAGACGGAAACTCTAAGCAACTCTGAGAACACGAGGCCACAGCGCACATGCTCTCGTGTAAAAGACGACAGGTGGGGTGAAGCTGTAATTGTGTTCGCAAAACTGGTGTATTGTCCTCTGACTAAAATGATAATCTCAGATGCTGAACAATCCCTCAGGTGTGCCACAACGCAAATCCAGAGCCAAAAGCAATTACAGTACTCACTGTTCTGTCAGACTCAAACCAGTTTGTCATATTAATCTGCCATTTAGATTCAAGACAAATATTTACGTTGCCCTAAAGATAAATTGTTAACCTTGATAACCTCCTGACTCCTGCCTTCTTATATGGTGCCAAAATCAGGACATAACCTTCCTATCAGCCTCAGCTGTACTTTGTGTTTAGTGCTAATTAACAAAATCATAAATAGTACACTGGGCATGGTGGAGAAGTGGTTAGCGCTGCTCCCTTAAAGCAAGAAGGTTCCAGGTTCAAGCCCCAGCTGACTCTGTGCCTTTCTGTGCGGAATTTGCATGTTCTCCCTGTGCCTGCATGGGCTCGTCCTGGGTATTCCAGCTTCCCCCCAGACCTTCCTGCAGCTTAGGTTGACTGGTGACTCTAAACTGCCTGCGTGGGTGGGTGTGGTTGCCTGTCTCTAAGTGTCAACCCTGTAATAAACTGGTGACCTGTCCCAATGTCAGCTGGGACTGGCTCCAGCCTCCCACGTCTCTCTCCAGGATAAGTGTGATAGAGAAAGAATGGATGGAAAATTAGCATGCTAACATGGTAAAGGCAGATTGTACTCCAAAACAAACAGAGTGAATTCCCAATTGACTCGGTGTGTGGGTGTGGGTGTGTGTGTGTGAGAGAGAGAAAGAGGGACCCCAAAACCCCAGTAAATCTGAGAGAGACAGTGGTTCATGTACTAGCTGCTGTGGGATACATTATCATAACAAAAATAACTAAGAAGAAATAAATAAAAACAAAACAGAGCTTCCTGTAACCAAACTGCCAAAAGGGAAGTGAAGCCACAAGCAGGAGTAAGATTTTTATTAAGGCAGCCAGCATGAATATGTGATGATTATTTCTTTATGGTGGATTAGCTGTTTTGCATATAAAACCTCTGAAAATAATGACAAATAATATCACAAAATGACCAAAAACCCAAATATATTCAGTTTACACTTACTGTATATTGATTGTGTACCTAATTATCATTTTCATCATCACTTCATCTGCTGATTATTTTTTAAATCAATCATTTTGTCTACAAATGAGCAAATATTATGTGATTATCGAAAGCATAACCATTTCTTTCTTTTTTTTTTTTTTTGATCAGCTCATTGGCTGTCAATGAATCATTGCTGTTTTAAATATTATAAAACAGAAAGCATCAAATGCTCACATTTAAGAAGCCAAAACCAGCGAGTCTGGGGCATTTTTGCTTCAAATAGGTGATTTACTTGATTATCTGAATTGTCACCGACACCACTGATAAACTATTAAATCATCTTATCATTTCAGAAGTTTCTCACCTCATGGCCACGTTGCTGCCATCTATAACAATGGGTCTCAGAGCATTTACATCCTTGCGGCTCTCCCCTCTGCTCTGAGGGGATGATTCAATAACAGGCTGCAGCAGGGTCGGGCCCACAGTCTGAGAGTCCCCTCTGGACAGCAGCACAGACATCGTTGTCACAGGCCTCTGCTTGGCCTCCTGACTGGAGCTGAACCTCATCAGCTCCCCAAGAACCTTATCTGTGTCCATTCTGGGGCCAAATTTCTTTTGAACAGCCTTAACCTGGGCTGTGGAGTACCCCAGTTTGTGGAAGAAGTCCAGCTGTTGCTCCAGGAGCTGGGGGTCTGGGGATGGATCAGATTCTCCAAGATACATTTTGTCACAGCAAAGACAGGAGTTGTTTTGATCTAGGAGACATGAGGGGAATATCCATGCAAGAGAGTCTGTGAGAGTCTGTGAGGTTCAGACAGGTCATGGTGGGGATTTTACTCCAGGGGTGTACAGGGGAAGGAGAGCAACATCAGCACTCTTCTTCCTCGGTCCAGCCCACCCATGTTCCATATGTTTAGAAAAAGACAATTTTCCTGTGTCCCGTCTGCAGTCCTGAAAGACAGAATAGTTTATGTTATTTAGGCTACTTGTGAAAATACTTTTGCTTCTTTCAGAGGTGAAACAATTCACTGATCAACAGAAAAGGAGACCCTTAACCAAGTAGCAGTACCACAATTTAAATACCCTGTTACATTCAAATGCTTAAGTGTAAAAGTTAAAGCACTCATTATGCGCAAAAACTGACTTTTTAAACATTATACTGTTTGGTTATTATTACAGAATAATCGGCTACGATATTTAAATGCAAGCATCATCATCATCTGGCATTTCTCAGAACAACCAACCATAGAAATTATCGTCGGATTATTTGGAAATAAAAATAATTGTTGGTTGCATCCCTAATTCCCTTCTTTAGGACAACTTCACTATTTCGTGCCGGTTTCCTGTCATACAAAACACGATACAAAAGGAGAACAGAGCGGAGCAATGACTGGCTCTTATGTCATTCTCTCACTAAATGACTGGAATAATAGTGAAACACCATCGTTTCTCACTTTGCCATGGATCCCTTGTAAACTCAGGACAGCAGTATCACTGGCTAATTCGTGGGTTCAAAACGTTACTGTTTCCGCCTCAACTTCAATTTAACAGAACATGAGAGAAACTCACCTGCGTGTCAGAGGCTTTAATCCGCACAAACGTGTCACATCTGAATGCGTCGACGAGACGCCGTTTTTTAAATCATGAGCAGGAAGTTGGGGTTTTTCCTTTTCTTGACATTGGCAAACAACCTGCAGGAAACCAACGTGGAGGTTTGGCCGAGTCACATGTCGGGACTTACGTAAAAACTGTTTTGTGATCTCGGAATATAATCTGACACCACAGGCTGTATACATCCATTTTATTGCTGCCAGTTACGCACGAAAACTTCAAACAAGAAGAAAACTATGTGGCAGAACAAAGGAACACTGCCACTAAACTACTTTGGACTTTGCATCAATCATGAATAACACACTGCTGTAATATATTTCAGGTCTATATCAGTAGTCAAGTATTAACACCAATAGGAGATCAACAATCTCCAAAAAACCTTCCCAAGTGCCCTAAATAAATGTATTTGTAAAATCACTAAGGACTTTGTTTAAGTGAACATAGTTTATCTGTTATTTCATTTTATTTCATGCTCAGTCAGGGCCATACTGATCCATATCGGGGCCCGAGGCCAAAGACCTGCTGTGGGCCCCGCATTTCCACCACTCATTTTCTATTGATTATGTACAGGTAATATGTTTTCGAAACTTGAGACACATTTTGAGTAAAATACATAATATATGCAAAAATAAAGAAGGCATCTGTCTTAGATTTTAAAACTTTCTTTTCAGCCCAGAGGGTCTAGGGAGACTCAAAACAGACACTATAAAACAAAAGCAAACCAAAAGCATCACTTTTTTTTGGAAGAGATAATGTTTGTATATGGCCAAATGATAAAGAAAGGGGAACAGATTAAGTAGTATTTATAAATTGGTTTCACAGTTGTTGTTTTTTTACAGAAATTTAGTTAATATCAAATAATATCTTTTACTTGTGATAAGTTTCTTACTTAATTTAACCTCTATGACAATTACGTATTCTCCAGACTGGTTTTGGCTTATGCTCTATTTTAAGAGGAATGTTTGGGAGAACACCAGGATAGGACTTGGGTACTGCAGCAGGTATAGTGTTTGGTGGATTGATTAGATGTGGTCCATGCTTAGGTGGTGTTGGGTGTGGTGCGTGTACTACTGGGGTTGTGGAATGTAAATACAGCCCAGTTGTTGGTTCTGGTTCATATGCTGACTGGAGTGTTTTCTGTGAATCTGGGCCACTGGCTGGTTCTGGTGCTGAAGCTGCTTGAGGTGTTGTCAGTGAGTCTGGCTCGGTGGCTGGTTCTGGTGTGGGTACTGCTTCAGGATTTGTTTGTGAATCTGGCCCAGTTGCTGGTTCTGGAGCTGCTTGAGGTGTTAGTGAGTCTGCCTCGGTGGGTGGTTCTGGAGCTGCTTGAGGTATTGTTAGTGACTCTGGTCCGGTTGCTGGTTCTGGAGCTGCTTGAGGTGTTAGTGAGTTTGGCTCTGTGGGTGGTTCTGGTGTAGGTACCGCTTCAGAATTTGTTTGTGAATCTTGCCCAGTTGCTGGTTCTGGAGCTGCTTGAGGTGTTGTCAGTGAGTCCGGCTCGGTGGCTGGTTCTGGGATGGGTACTGCTTCAGGGGTTGTTTGTGAATCTGGACTAGTGGGTTCTTGAGGTGTTGTCAGTGAATCTGGCCCAGTTGCTGGCTCTGGAGCTGCTTGAGGTGTCAGTGACTCAGGTCCAGTTTCTGGTTCTGGAGCTGCTTGAGGTGTTGTCAGTGAATCCGGCACAGGTGCTGGTTCTGGAGCTGTTTGAGGTGTTGACAATGAGTCAGGTCCAGTTGCTGGTTCTGGTGTGGATACTGCTTCAGGATTTGTTTGTGAATCTGGCCCAGTTGCTGGTTCTGGAGCTGCTTGAGGTGTTGACAGTGAGTCAGGTCCAGTAGCTGGTTCTGGAGCTGTCTGAGGTGTTGACAGTGAGTCTGGCTCAGTGGGTGGTTCTGGTGTGGGTACTGCTTCAGGATTTGTTTGTGAATCTGGCCCAGTTGCTGGTTCTGGAGCTGTTTCAGGTGTTGTCATTGATTGTGGTCCGGTTTCTGGTTCTGGAGCTGCTTGAGGTGTTGTCAGTGAGTCTTCCTCGGTGGGTGGTTCTGGTGTGGGTACTGCTTCAGGATTTGTTTGTGAATCTGGCCCAGTTGCTGGTTCTGGAGCTGTTTCAGGTGTTGTCATTGATTGTGGTCCGGTTTCTGGTTCTGGAGCTGCTTGAGGTGTTGTCAGTGAGTCTTCCTCGGTGGGTGGTTCTGGTGTGGGTACTGCTTCAGGATTTGTTTGTGAATCTGGCCCAGTTGCTGGTTCTGGAGCTGTTTCAGGTGTTGTCATTGATTGTGGTCCGGTTTCTGGTTCTGGAGCTGCTTGAGGTGTTGTCAGTGAGTCTTCCTCGGTGGGTGGTTCTGGTGTGGGTACTGCTTCAGGATTTGTTTGTGAATCTGGCCCAGTTGCTGGTTCTGGAGCTGTTTCAGGTGTTGTCATTGATTGTGGTCCGGTTTCTGGTTCTGGAGCTGCTTGAGGTGTTGTCAGTGAGTCTTCCTCGGTGGGTGGTTCTGGTGTGGGTACTGCTTCAGGATTTGTTTGTGAATCTGGCCCAGTTGCTGGTTCTGGAGCTGTTTCAGGTGTTGTCATTGATTGTGGTCCGGTTTCTGGTTCTGGAGCTGCTTGAGGTGTTGTCAGTGAGTCTTCCTCGGTGGGTGGTTCTGGTGTGGGTACTGCTTCAGGATTTGTTTGTGAATCTGGCCCAGTTGCTGGTTCTGGAGCTGTTTCAGGTGTTGTCATTGATTGTGGTCCGGTTTCTGGTTCTGGAGCTGCTTGAGGTGTTGATAATGAGTCAGGTCCAGTTGCTGGTTCTGGTGTGGGTACTGCTTCAGGGGTTGTTTGTGACTCAGGTCCAGTTTCTGGTTCTGAAGATGCTTGAGGTGTTGTCAGTGAATCTGGCCCAGTTGCTGGTTCTGGAGCTGTTTGAGGTGTTGACAGTGAGTCTGCCTCGGTGGGTGGTTCTGGTGTGGATACTGCTTCAGGATTTGTTTGTGAATCTGGCCCAGTTGCTGGTTCTGGAGCTGCTTGAGGTGTTGTCATTGATTGTGGTCTGGTTTCTGGTTCTGGAGCTGCTTGAGGTGTTGTCAGTGAATCTGGCACAGGTGCTAGTTCTGGAGCTGCTTGAGGTGTTGACAGTGAGTCTGGCTCAGTGGGTGGGTCTGGTGTGGATACTGCTTCCGGGTTTGTGAATCTGGCTCAGTGGGTGGGTCTGGTGTGGATACTGCTTCCGGGTTTGTGAATCTGGCTCAGTGGGTGGGTCTGGTGTGGATACTGCTTCCGGGTTTGTGAATCTGGCTCAGTGGGTGGGTCTGGTGTGGATACTGCTTCCGGGTTTGTGAATCTGGCTCAGTGGGTGGGTCTGGTGTGGATACTGCTTCCGGGTTTGTGAATCTGGCTCAGTGGGTGGGTCTGGTGTGGATACTGCTTCCGGGTTTGTGAATCTGGCTCAGTGGGTGGGTCTGGTGTGGATACTGCTTCCGGGTTTGTGAATCTGGCTCAGTGGGTGGGTCTGGTGTGGATACTGCTTCCGGGTTTGTGAATCTGGCTCAGTGGGTGGGTCTGGTGTGGATACTGCTTCCGGGTTTGTGAATCTGGCTCAGTGGGTGGGTCTGGTGTGGATACTGCTTCCGGGTTTGTGAATCTGGCTCAGTGGGTGGGTCTGGTGTGGATACTGCTTCCGGGTTTGTGAATCTGGCTCAGTGGGTGGGTCTGGTGTGGATACTGCTTCCGGGTTTGTGAATCTGGCTCAGTGGGTGGGTCTGGTGTGGATACTGCTTCCGGGTTTGTGAATCTGGCTCAGTGGGTGGGTCTGGTGTGGATACTGCTTCCGGGTTTGTGAATCTGGCTCAGTGGGTGGGTCTGGTGTGGATACTGCTTCCGGGTTTGTGAATCTGGCTCAGTGGGTGGGTCTGGTGTGGATACTGCTTCCGGGTTTGTGAATCTGGCTCAGTGGGTGGGTCTGGTGTGGATACTGCTTCCGGGTTTGTGAATCTGGCTCAGTGGGTGGGTCTGGTGTGGATACTGCTTCCGGGTTTGTGAATCTGGCTCAGTGGGTGGGTCTGGTGTGGATACTGCTTCCGGGTTTGTGAATCTGGCTCAGTGGGTGGGTCTGGTGTGGATACTGCTTCCGGGTTTGTGAATCTGGCTCAGTGGGTGGGTCTGGTGTGGATACTGCTTCCGGGTTTGTGAATCTGGCTCAGTGGGTGGGTCTGGTGTGGATACTGCTTCCGGGTTTGTGAATCTGGCTCAGTGGGTGGGTCTGGTGTGGATACTGCTTCCGGGTTTGTGAATCTGGCTCAGTGGGTGGGTCTGGTGTGGATACTGCTTCCGGGTTTGTGAATCTGGCTCAGTGGGTGGGTCTGGTGTGGATACTGCTTCCGGGTTTGTGAATCTGGCTCAGTGGGTGGGTCTGGTGTGGATACTGCTTCCGGGTTTGTGAATCTGGCTCAGTGGGTGGGTCTGGTGTGGATACTGCTTCCGGGTTTGTGAATCTGGCTCAGTGGGTGGGTCTGGTGTGGATACTGCTTCCGGGTTTGTGAATCTGGCTCAGTGGGTGGGTCTGGTGTGGATACTGCTTCCGGGTTTGTGAATCTGGCTCAGTGGGTGGGTCTGGTGTGGATACTGCTTCCGGGTTTGTGAATCTGGCTCAGTGGGTGGGTCTGGTGTGGATACTGCTTCCGGGTTTGTGAATCTGGCTCAGTGGGTGGGTCTGGTGTGGATACTGCTTCCGGGTTTGTGAATCTGGCTCAGTGGGTGGGTCTGGTGTGGATACTGCTTCCGGGTTTGTGAATCTGGCTCAGTGGGTGGGTCTGGTGTGGATACTGCTTCCGGGTTTGTGAATCTGGCTCAGTGGGTGGGTCTGGTGTGGATACTGCTTCCGGGTTTGTGAATCTGGCTCAGTGGGTGGGTCTGGTGTGGATACTGCTTCCGGGTTTGTGAATCTGGCTCAGTGGGTGGGTCTGGTGTGGATACTGCTTCCGGGTTTGTGAATCTGGCTCAGTGGGTGGGTCTGGTGTGGATACTGCTTCCGGGTTTGTGAATCTGGCTCAGTGGGTGGGTCTGGTGTGGATACTGCTTCCGGGTTTGTGAATCTGGCTCAGTGGGTGGGTCTGGTGTGGATACTGCTTCCGGGTTTGTGAATCTGGCTCAGTGGGTGGGTCTGGTGTGGATACTGCTTCCGGGTTTGTGAATCTGGCTCAGTGGGTGGGTCTGGTGTGGATACTGCTTCCGGGTTTGTGAATCTGGCTCAGTGGGTGGGTCTGGTGTGGATACTGCTTCCGGGTTTGTGAATCTGGCTCAGTGGGTGGGTCTGGTGTGGATACTGCTTCCGGGTTTGTGAATCTGGCTCAGTGGGTGGGTCTGGTGTGGATACTGCTTCCGGGTTTGTGAATCTGGCTCAGTGGGTGGGTCTGGTGTGGATACTGCTTCCGGGTTTGTGAATCTGGCTCAGTGGGTGGGTCTGGTGTGGATACTGCTTCCGGGTTTGTGAATCTGGCTCAGTGGGTGGGTCTGGTGTGGATACTGCTTCCGGGTTTGTGAATCTGGCTCAGTGGGTGGGTCTGGTGTGGATACTGCTTCCGGGTTTGTGAATCTGGCTCAGTGGGTGGGTCTGGTGTGGATACTGCTTCCGGGTTTGTGAATCTGGCTCAGTGGGTGGGTCTGGTGTGGATACTGCTTCCGGGTTTGTGAATCTGGCTCAGTGGGTGGGTCTGGTGTGGATACTGCTTCCGGGTTTGTGAATCTGGCTCAGTGGGTGGGTCTGGTGTGGATACTGCTTCCGGGTTTGTGAATCTGGCTCAGTGGGTGGGTCTGGTGTGGATACTGCTTCCGGGTTTGTGAATCTGGCTCAGTGGGTGGGTCTGGTGTGGATACTGCTTCCGGGTTTGTGAATCTGGCTCAGTGGGTGGGTCTGGTGTGGATACTGCTTCCGGGTTTGTGAATCTGGCTCAGTGGGTGGGTCTGGTGTGGATACTGCTTCCGGGTTTGTGAATCTGGCTCAGTGGGTGGGTCTGGTGTGGATACTGCTTCCGGGTTTGTGAATCTGGCTCAGTGGGTGGGTCTGGTGTGGATACTGCTTCCGGGTTTGTGAATCTGGCTCAGTGGGTGGGTCTGGTGTGGATACTGCTTCCGGGTTTGTGAATCTGGCTCAGTGGGTGGGTCTGGTGTGGATACTGCTTCCGGGTTTGTGAATCTGGCTCAGTGGGTGGGTCTGGTGTGGATACTGCTTCCGGGTTTGTGAATCTGGCTCAGTGGGTGGGTCTGGTGTGGATACTGCTTCCGGGTTTGTGAATCTGGCTCAGTGGGTGGGTCTGGTGTGGATACTGCTTCCGGGTTTGTGAATCTGGCTCAGTGGGTGGGTCTGGTGTGGATACTGCTTCCGGGTTTGTGAATCTGGCTCAGTGGGTGGGTCTGGTGTGGATACTGCTTCCGGGTTTGTGAATCTGGCTCAGTGGGTGGGTCTGGTGTGGATACTGCTTCCGGGTTTGTGAATCTGGCTCAGTGGGTGGGTCTGGTGTGGATACTGCTTCCGGGTTTGTGAATCTGGCTCAGTGGGTGGGTCTGGTGTGGATACTGCTTCCGGGTTTGTGAATCTGGCTCAGTGGGTGGGTCTGGTGTGGATACTGCTTCCGGGTTTGTGAATCTGGCTCAGTGGGTGGGTCTGGTGTGGATACTGCTTCCGGGTTTGTGAATCTGGCTCAGTGGGTGGGTCTGGTGTGGATACTGCTTCCGGGTTTGTGAATCTGGCTCAGTGGGTGGGTCTGGTGTGGATACTGCTTCCGGGTTTGTGAATCTGGCTCAGTGGGTGGGTCTGGTGTGGATACTGCTTCCGGGTTTGTGAATCTGGCTCAGTGGGTGGGTCTGGTGTGGATACTGCTTCCGGGTTTGTGAATCTGGCTCAGTGGGTGGGTCTGGTGTGGATACTGCTTCAGGATTTGTTTGTGAATCTGGCTCAGTTGCTGGTTCTGGAGCTGTTTCAGGTGTTGACAGTGAGTCAGGTCCGGTTTCTGGTTCTGGAGCTCCTTCATTTGTCGGCCTTGTAACCTGATGAGATGTTGACGACTTTGTGTTGGTTTGCGGCTCCTCTGTCATTTCAAGCTTCGTTCCATCCAGTCCTGTTCCTTTTGCGCAGTTGCACGGTTTGATTTGAATGATGTTCTTAATGAGATCAGCACTGGGGAAGTTCATACTGAAGACTCCTAAGCAACCTTGATTTAAGGAACTTTTCTTATGTCCTTCCACAAAGTCGTAGATTTGCCCATTAACTGTTTCAGCCAACTTCTTTGGTTTGCTAAAACTTGGTGCTGCATTTTCAGTCAGCACAATGTGGTGATCACAGAGGTGTGACTTGATTTGCCTAATTTTGCCTTCAACATTGATTAGCCTGCTCTTTTCAAAGAAATTAGATTCATAATTTTTGGTTCCAACATAGAACGTGTCACTCTGGAGAAAAATAATCTTGCCCCTTGCCTGTTTCATGGTTGGTACTGACGACTCTGTCCATATTCTATATTTGTACTTTTCAATCAATCCCTTTAGCATGTTTGCAACTTTCCCTTTGTAAAGCCCATGTAGGGTCATTTTCAAGAGCACAGTCTCACTACTGTGAGAGTTTAAGAAGTTGAAAATGATGCTCAGAACTTCACCAAGATGAGTATGTTGCCAAAACATCCAGTGACTATCCCGGATATAAATATCTTTTTGGTTAGGAAACCAAATCCCAGCATGCAGGTCAAAGTAGCGTAGTCCCACTTTAAGTTGCTGCTCCAAGGTCCAAACCTGACACACAGCCAGTGGTCCCCCAGTTGACGATAAGCTTTCATGTGTTCCAGGAATAGTGATAGCAGATACAGGAGTCTCAGTTGGCACAGAATTCATCCAGGCTTGGTTGTAAAATATTGGATCTAGCGCTGGATCATCGTTGAAACCTGATCTTGAACCTACACAGGAGGTAATTCTGGTGGGGAGAAAGCCACGTTACTTTATTTTTAATACTGATTTGAGAATTTCAACAAAAGATAAATATTGTAATATAAACAAAATATTTAATTTCCTTTGTAAATAAATATTCGATTAAGTTAGCAAACCATACTAAGTGAAAAAGCACATTCATGTACAAGCATCATAGAATTACAATTATAAATATTATGTTCAACTTACAGAGAGAGACCGAGAAGCCAGAAGGAATGATGGATCTCCATATTTGTTTTTTTTTTTCGACCGATGTATGGTGCAGTGAACTTTTCCAGCTCTCTTTCCAAAATGAGTTTACATTTTCATAAAATTATCAATTTGCAAAAAATGTTTCACACTAGCCTAAAGAAACGTTTAACTGTAGACGACTGAGGGTGATTGTCTCCCGCAGAGTGAGCTACTGGAACAGTGTGAATACAGATAGACTGTTATTTGCATGTTACTACTCTAATCTTTTATTTGGAATGAGAGGGAGAGAAAGACAAAGACACATGGGCACCATAAAAGTGGGGAACAGATTATATCGCTAACAGTTTAGTAAAATGTGGCTTCAGGCACACTCACAGAGAAACACTGCAACATACAGTACACTGCACGTGAGCCAACCGTTAACTGAGCTGAATTTATTTTAAGATTTATGAAGTCAGTCACTAATGTTGCTGGAAATATCAGTATATGCAATATGGGTTGTACACTATATGTGAGATACTGGCAACAGGCATTTGTGTACTTTTGGTTTGGGATATTTTTAAAGGTTTTTAGTTGCCACTAAAATCCTAAAGCAAAACATACTGAACACATACTGTACCTATTTACTGTATGTGGTTGGTTGTGCTGTGCTGTGCTGTCACGTCATTCACATCCTAGTCAATAAGCCTGTCTGGCCACTGCTGATCCTCTTCCTGACCACCTGTTGCATCTTAGTGAGAAAGGTTATCTGCAGCACAATCAGATAAGACATAGAATTCTGTTAGCAGCAGAAATTCACAACAGAGCAATCAGATATACAAATGACAAGAGTGTTTATGATCTACAAGGAGCTCAGCTGCTTGTAACGCCTACTTCTGCACCAACTTTCTCCTCAGAGCTAATTCCTTCTTTGTCTTTGCAAGATGTCAGTTAAAACTCTGCCCCTGGTTTTCATTAATCTTGGTGGAGAGATGCTTTACATACTGGACCAGCGCCTGCGAGCCACCAGCACGTCTGAGGACAATTCCGAGAAAGGTAGAGGTAGCTAACTGACAGACTTGGTAGGTGCATACTCGTTTAACTCCCAGTCATCCCTTACCCTGGATGAGCTGTAGCTGTCAGACATCAGCTAATAAACTGAACACAAAGTTTGTCATGCACAACGTCACATAACGTCTATTTTCTTTCTCAGCTGCAGGAGTGTGGTCAGAGAATGATAGAAAAAGAGGTAACTGTGTATTCATGTTGTGAGCATATTATTAGTCAGCTTCTTTTTGCACCTGTAGTTTCTACTGTTAGCTGTAATTTTTACATAACTGATGTAGGCTGTGAGGAGGGGTGGTAGTTTTGGTAACACTTTATAATACAGCTGATGATTTACAGTGCAACTGGGTAAAATACTTACCCAGTTGTAAGTTTGATACTTGAACGCATCAAATTCAAGACTACAGCAAACAACTGGAATAACTAATAATATGTAACTGAGCATTTTAAAGGAAGGAGGCTCTCTCTCTCTCTCTCTTTGTTTTGAAATCACAATGCAGTTTAATGGCTAGACTGACAATTTTAACTATTTTTCTCTGTTTCACAGCTTCTGTACAGTTGTGTGCCGTTGTGGGGTAGCATCAGCTTTAAAGATTAAAGTTGCAATAGCATCAATATGTGGTCTTGTGTGCTCTCAAACTGCATGTAGCCTACAATTTTCAATAGCAAATTCTAGCCAATATTAACCTCTTGTGTTTTTGTCTGTTTTTTCTCCACTTATAGTTATGAATGACATCGTTGGGACCTTGTTTAGTAAAACCTTTATGGATGAACTACTCAAACCTCAGCAGCTGTATTCCCACAGAACACTGAAAACAGTGCTAACTCGGCTAGCGCACGCCTCCATCATGAGGCTGAACCCTGCCAGTATGGACAGGGTATGTACTAGATAATAGAAAAGGCTGTTTAGGGGGAAATCCAAGTCAGCTGTCAGGTCAGTCGATATGACCTTAAGTCAAGTATCAGGTCCTGGATAGCAGGTTTGAATCAAGTTACAGTAAGTCTAATGTGGAAAATTGAAAGTGTGAGTCTTTAGGTGTCTTTCTTCCAAAGCTGTGTTAATATTATTATTATCGCACAGCTGCTGTAAGACCAAACCCTACAACTCATCAGTGTAACCGTCAAATACTCAACATATTTGTCCATGCAAATCTTGATTCAAATTCATTGTATTTCTTTTTTAATTTGGGGAATTTATCAGGGTCTCCAGGTTTTAAGGGTTTTAATTTAAAACCTAAAGTCACGCCAAGTCTCAGTGTTTGTCTAAGTCAAGTCTTAAGTTTTATATTGTCCTTTTACGACAAATTCCAAAGAAAGACTAACAGCTGAGTGTGGCTCTCAGTGCGTTCCTGATCTGGGGCACTCGGCCATAATTAGTTCCTAGAAACATAACTCTTTAAAAACAACACACAAAAACAGTTTCATTGTCTCATTTTGGTGCTTGACTGACTCAAAATAAACTACAGTGCCCATGTTCATAGCAATGATGAACTTGCCCCCCAGTGAAATGTTGTGTTCACTGATACTATGGATTAGATTGATTTGTGCTATAGCCTATCAGGCGTCACACTAAACTTGCTAGGAGATCAAATCATTAATTTTGGTCTTCAATGAAAATATAAAATACTGCCACCTGTTTTATTTGACTCCATATCTCAAGTCTAAAGTTCTTAAACTAAATGCAGTTGAAAAAGTTCTAATAAGGAAAATTATCAGTTGGGGAGAGATTAGTATTTTATATTTAAAGTATTTTGTAATTTTTTTCCCCCCACATAGCTTTATGAGCTAACAATCATGGCATTCAAATATCAAGTCTTCCGCTGTCCACGACCAAAAGACCTGCTGCTCATCTCGTACAGTCACATAGATACCATCAGGGAATTGGTGAAAGACACATCTGTGGTTGTCAATCAAGTGGACGAGACACATAGGAAGATCATTGAGGTATTGATCAGACAAATGTTATTAAATAAATCTTACAGCTCTGATACATAATACCCCAGGACACAGTAGTCCATTTTACATTCCAGCTGCCAGTCTATTACTTCTGTCCATATACATCCTGTGTTACCTGTGTTTTTCTCTTCCTTGATGCAGGTATACTCATCTTTATCCGAAGGCGAATTCCAGCTCCTCAGACAAACACTGCTTATATTTTTTCAAGACATGCATGTTCGCGTGAGTCCTCTGTTATTAGTTTATCAGCTCATATAATGAAATGAAAGTACGACAATTAGCACTTCTTTTATTTTCTCTTCTCAGGTGTCACTTTTCCTCAAAAATCAAATCCAGAACCCTGACGGACGTTTTGCCCTGCCAACTTCAGGCCCAGTGCCTCATGGGATAGTTGTTCCGGGGCTGATTAGGTACACTGATGACTAACAAAAACATGGAATTTGATAATTAGCCATCTACGGGATCATTAATTGACATGTAGCCAATCTACGTGTCAATTTATGAGTGGGTGACTAGCCGGCAATTTTGGACAAGCAGATTTACAGTTTCAGTAAATATTCAGCTACCTTGTTAGCCATTATTTGAACACAGCCAAGTGGAACCAGATGTTCAGGTTCAGATGTCTGATGCAGCCGACAAGCTAACATCTTCATTTGAAATGTTCTTGCACTGAGTCTGAAATTTCCTCTGACTGATTATAAGACATATCTTTCAGTGTTTCATCATCTGCTTCCTGTTTTTGCAGGGTTTTTGACAGTAAGGGCAGAGAAGTGAGACGGAGCGAGTTCCCCGCCGGAGGAAGTTACAGCAGCCCAGTCAGGGAGGGATCTTTTGAACTGCATGGGGATAGAGTCATCAGCCTGGGCATGAATATGTATGTACTGGGTGGCACAGTGCACAGCGTTGAACATTTAGCACATACTGTAGCTCACGTTTGTACAGCATCTTCATGACATTGCTGTGTTTGTGTTTCATGAATTTAAAGGTACACTGTGAACCATCCAGAGGAGACACACACATCCAAGGCACTGTCTGTCAAGGTAGTGATGGGCAGATGTTTTCACTGCAGCAAACATGCTGGTCTAACTAACAACATAAATTAAGACAAACCATGCTATCCTTTTGGATTTTCCAGTTTTGGGGCCATGCTATTTTGCTATTATGCTGGCTCACTGTCATTCCTTATTTGGCACACCATTTTTTACTAGTGCAATGCAAAGGTGATCATAGAGAACACAACAAGATATATTCAGTGCAGCTGCAATAGATACTGATATATCTAAAATGGAGCAGAGCCCTTATTAGTGTTACTACTTAGTAATTTTCCTGCTATCAAAAGTGTTATGTCCATCAGGCTGTACAACAGGCTACTTTATTCCAATGCATTTATTTGAACTTATATGAATTATTATTATGTGAAGTAATGTGGTGAGTGCCCACATTAAGCACTTGTACTGTACAAATACCTCAACATACTGTTGTATATTTAAGATATCTGAATATTTACTGTACTGTAAAGTATACTTCTCTAATGTATAGTCATAATTTTCAAACCTATTTTACAATGTCCAGTCATTCCGTTCTTCTGTTTTACTATTTCTTTTTTATAATGTACAATTCTTTAATGTTATCACTGACGGAAGAAGTACTTAGATCTTTTATGTTACTAAAAGTAGCAATACCACAGAGAAAAAAAAAACTCTATTACCAGTAAATGGCCCGCATTCAAAATGTTTTTAAGTAAAAGTACAAAAGTATTGGCATCAAAATATACTAAGTACCAAATATCCATGTACTAAATTTGCCAAAAGGCACATTTCAGATAGACTAAATGTACTTCAGTACAGTATTTAGTTACTTTCTATCACAGAATGTTAATATATTTTTTACTATATTATTCTACTTCCTTTTGACTATGCATTATGCAAAGTCTTGTCTGTCATGCTGCAGGGAGATGGCACTCCCAACCCGCTGGCAAAGGAGGAGCTGAACCTGTTGGCTTGTCTGATTGGCAGCCTGAAGGCTGAGAACATGCCCAGAGCTGAATATGGCTTTCGGATCAACCTGTTTACCACAGACCAAGAGGAGGAGGAAGAGGCAGAGTGAGTTTTGTTTCTTTTCTTTTCTCTCATTCTCTGCAGTTAAATTAACATGAATTGCCACAAATATGACTTTTATTTTGGTTAACAGTGGAACTTCAGATGGAGCTGAAGAGTCTATGTTTGGAGTGATAAATATTCAGGCAATGCAGGTATATGTATAGTGTAGACAAAGATGGATTACTGAACGATCTACAGGGCACAGGCCCAAGGGATCAGTGTCCCTGGACCAGTAAGAAAAAAAAAAAGCGAAATAAATAATAATCTATGAAACAGGTCCAAAAAGAGACACAAATGATTGTAACTAAAAGAAAAACAAGTGCAAAGAGATGCAAAATAAGCACAACTAGATATAGGAGAAACTAAATCTAGACACAAAATGATCATAAAGACAAAACAACAAAATATCTGGGGGTCTTGCCCCTATGTAGGAAGGTAGGGCCTTTTACACCCAGCATCTCATAATACATCCATGGGTACTGATGTAAACAGTATAAACTGTAGCAAACCAGGTTTTACATACTCATCCTGTACATTAGTCTATGAAGGCCCTGCAGCAACACTACATTCATGGAGACCCATGTTATTATTAAATAAGCATCATTAAACATTTATTAAATTTGTCATGTAACGATATAGTTGAGACATTAATTCACCCTTTTTTGGAAGTAGGTTATTCATTGTAGTATGTAATTTATCAAGCATTAATCAACCTTTTAATAATGGCCACATCATTAAGCTGTTACAGCTACACTATGTAACTTTTTCCAAATATATTTTGTTGTGGAACTATGCTCCAAAGGTTCTAAAGGGTTTTGAGAGGGATTGACCTCTAACTAACCATAGATTTTTAATTATTTCTGCTTGATCAACAAGTTTTGCTGCATTCTTATTTCTTGTAATTTCCCAACAACAAATTTCTGAAGAACTGGGCAGAGTGTGGTAGAGCATAGTGGAGCAGGGAGTGGGAGTGGGAGTGCTGGGTGGAGGAGCAGGGTGGATTGATTTGGAGTTTCATGCTAGTGCTACCTTAAATTACATACTGTAGCTTTAATTACTGTATGAACAGCTGATATATTTGGGTTTGGCTTTGTTCAGGATGAACAGTCTGCAGCTGAACTGGCTCGAATCACTGGACAGTTTGCAGAAGAAGAAGAACAGCATGAAAACCCCAGTGGCAACAAAGGAGACGACCTGTTGGCCATGATGGATGACCTCTGAAGCTAATCTGTCTCTTTATTTTGATTGTGTGATCACAGACACAGATGTCTTTGATGAAATTCAAGATGTTTTAATGAGATTTACTGTTTTCTAAATGGCTGCCATCAGCCAGCCTGGCATCATGCATCTCAGGTGCAATCAAGTGTGAATATCAGCATCATCTCTTTCTATGTGTATAGTATCCACTTATTATTGTACTCTACACACCTGGGGCCTACTGCACAAAACTAGGATAAGGGATTAAGCCGGGATATCTTGGTGATCCTGGCGCAATTTATCCGTGATCCGGTTGCACTAAAGCTGGATTAAATTTCGGCAGGATGTTATGGTATAAATTACCATGGAGATTTATTCTGTGGAGCTAGCCTGCTCCAGACCAGGCTAAGTTCCAGGATTTATTTAATCTCATCCCTCATGTCAGTCAGCAGTCACCACAAACGGAAACCAGTAGTTATTTCACTGAGACAATGCCTCTAGTAGCACAGTCATATCCATGGCTGAGAGAAAAGCTACAATCACCTTGGAGGTGGAAGCCTTGATAATGTCAATTATCTTTTTTATTTTTT